GCATCCGACATCCGTCAGTCGTGAGCCCCAACTCGACCGGGCACGCGGGGGAGACACTACTTACCCGCCCTCCAACAGACTCGTCCGGATGAGAATGTATCGCCCCTTTGCGGATGCGGGGGTCGTCCACAGCGGGGTCCCACAACTGCGACAGAACGCCTTTTCTTTTGGAGAACCACTTGACGTGTCGGTCAACGTGAAGTTGGAGATGAGATCGCTTCCTGAGAGTACTTGGACGGATTGAGCCTCAAACTTTGCAATCTGCCACAAGAACGAAATTAGCAATGACCCTGGTGTGTTTGTCCATTGGCAAACTTACTGTTTGGTGTGACCCACCTGCGCCTTTGCTACAATGAGTGCAAAAACAGGAGAAGACAGCGAGTGGTGTCGACGAAGTCTGGATCTCAATCCCGCCGCATAGGCAAGAGCCGCAAAAAGAGGATGACATGCTTTTGGCGGCACTAAGGAGGAATCCTGTCAAGGATCACTCAAGCTCAAGCAGTCTGCTGAGTTAAGTACGTTGACTGCGCGTTGCCTTCGGTGGCCACTTGCACACTCGGGGCCGGAGGCTCGCCTGACAAGACTTCAACTACTTTCCACTATGTGTAATGAAAGCCCAGCCGGAACGCGCGATTGGCTTTCCGATCAACTGGGATACATCCCGAGACAACGGGACGCTAAGCAGAAGCGCAGGTAGGCGAACTTGGCACTGGGCAGCTGACGTCGAAGTCTATCACTCTACGAGTGTACTGCTCAACTTCCATCTGAAGTTTTAGCAGAGATGGCAACTCGCGCCGTCAACGGCACAAGACCACTGATGTTTGCCGAAAAGAATGTGGACTCTTCAGTGTCATAAAAGAACTCGAGATGTGGACAAGAAACTTGACTATCGATTGCAGTCCTAGCATGCTCGCAACTATGTAGGCTCTCATCGACTATGATTTGGTCTATAATCCTAGGCCTTCCTGTCCGCAACATTCTCAACTTCAACAAACTCGTCATCAACCTTGTCGCTCCTAACGCCACTGCTGCCAAAGGCGTGGTTCTTGCCGTCAAACACCTCGGCAATTTGCTCAAGCGAACGGCCCTTAGTCTCAGGGAAGAGAAGCCAAATCAAGAGTAACAGAAGAGCCAAGATGACGCAGAAGACGATGTAGTACTTCCAGCCCAAGTTGGCCATTCCAATGGGGTTGCAAAACTGTCCGATAATGAGACCCACGAAAGTCGATCCCAGAGACATTGTCAAACCCCTTCCACGCAGAGTGTACTGGAAGATCTCAACAGGGTACGAGAGCAAGAGGGGCGACCAGGCGATGTCGTAGAAAAAGTAGTAGATGAAAATAAACGCCACCACGGCGTAGCCAGCTCTCTCGTCCTTGGTGTTGGTGAAAACGCTGGTAAGGATGGTCCAGATGATGTAGCATCCGAGCATACCAGCGGTCGAAATGAGGAAGAGCTTGCGGCGGCCAATGCGGTCAACCATCATGGCGCCGGCAAACACGGCCGCAAACCAGTTGAAAACCTGGAGCAAGCCGTTGATGAGGGCCTGGTCCTTGGTCTCGGTGATTCCGACGGTGTTGAGAACCAGCGTGAGGTAGTAGGAGATGACTCCAGAACCAGACCACTGGGCTCCTAGACCGGTGATGACAGCGATGAGCGTACGGCGACGGTTGGGTGCCGTCTTGACGAGGTCGAGGTACGAAGACTCGCGCAGCGCCTCGGTCTCGAGCCGGACGTTTTCCTCGATCTCCTTGACCTCGTAATCAACGAGAGGCGAAGACGCATCGCCGCCGGCGTGGTAGCGGGTGAGAATCTCTCGAGCTTGTTCAGTCTTACCGTGGGCAATAAGCCATCTGGGGGACTCAGGCACGAAGTAGAAGAAGGCGAACTGAATTGCAGGAAGAGCACCCTGCAAAATAGACGGAATCCTCCAACTCCAAGTTGAGGTCAGTCGGAATGTGCCGTAGGTTGACCAAGCCGCCAAGATTGCTCCGAAGAACTATGGCAGCTGTCAGCGAAAGTTTCCTGCAACATGTATGACATAGGCTTAAGCAGCCAGAAAGACTTACAAAGAAGGTGTTGTAAAGACTCGAAATCTTGCCTCGTTGGGTCGGGTAGGCAAGCTCGGTCACAAGAATCGGTGCCGGCTGCGCAATGAAGGCAGTGGCAGCACCGAGGAGCCATCGTGAGACGATGAACATGGGGAGACTAGTACTTGCGCCTTGAAGGGCGGCTCCGATGAGGAGAAGGAAGAATCCAATCCACATGGGCACTTTTCTGCCGTACTTGTCCGCCAGGTATGTAGTTGGAATAAGACCCATGATCTTGCCGATTGGATATACAGCGTTCATCGTTCCGAGTACGGATGGACTAGGGCTACCGAAGTAACCGCGCCATTGCTTGATGGTCTGCAGACCATTCATCATGGCACCTGGTTCCAAATGTTAGGATGGCATTTCACAACATGAAGTCTTACACGAAGCAATGACATACCATCGAAGCCGACCGAGGCCGACGATAACATGGGGACCAATAGAGTTAGGTTCAGCAGAAGCAAGTGCTTGGTGCGATACCATGGTGCAGGCTTTTCGGGCAGGACCTTGAGCTGATGTTAGAGTTCGTGATCACATAGCTTCTGATTTGCATTGTCTGTTGTCTATCCCGGCACATGGAAAGAGAGACTCACTGCGAGCAAGTCAGACCCGACGGCCTGTGCAGCCGTCTTCTTGGCTTGCTTTGACTTGAGGAAGCCCATCTTGATTTTGTTGTGGTCGGGCTACACTGAGATTGTACTGGAAGTCTGTTGGTTTCTTCAATGACCACCGTTGCAATCGACTTTGAAAGCAGTGAAGTCGCCGAGCCAGGATCAACGCGAAGCCATCAGAGTTGAGTCGAAGGAGACCTTGGAGATATATGCAAAAGTCAAAAGAGACACTGTCAAGAGCCGGAATGGAGGAGTTCTCAACTTCCCACGCGGCCAGGCCCCCTGTGTACCCCAGTCGACCCCGTAAAATGTCTGCGGTTTCCCCACGGGCTGTGGATTCTTCCCCAAGTTCATCGTTAGCTTGGATGGGTGACCCGTCGCGTCGGGTGAGGAACTCGATCACGGAACTCGGGAGTCGGATGGCAGGTCACGTCGGCCAGACTAGATGAACGCTAGATGACTAGGCCTAGCTTAGTAGATATGATGGGTTATCGTAGCTAGTAACAGAAGCGTTGGAGAGCTGTCCAGCTGACAAAGACCTCACCTGACCTACACCGACGGCAAGCCTCCCGAAGCGAGCTGCCCTACTTGACAGAATGGCTCACCTTGGTGCTCACCGAACAGACTCACCGGGAAGAGTCCCCGAGCGCAAAAGTCTCAAGACTAAGCAGACTCTATGACATGCAGATAGGGCGAGTCATAAGTGAGCTTCCACGCTCCCCGAGGCCATTGCGTCGCGTTCTGAAACGGTTCTGCGGGGGCGGTGATCAATGCTGCACGATAATTAAACTCGCGATCCCCAGACAGGGCCGACCATCCTGCCTCCCCCCTCACATCTCGCGTCGCTCGTCTCCCCGACACGAGAAATGCTCCCGAACAACGAGGTTTACAGGAGTCATCTATCGTCGCAATGGACCCACCGCCGAAGAGGATGAGGATGGACATCGGCCGGGGCTTCCCCGACATGGGCATGGCGGCCATTACCGGCGGATCGCCTCCTGGCCGCTCCTCCTCCGGCGTCGATCACGCGCATCTCGAGCAAGCTGATCCTAGGATGCCGAAGCAGAGGACTTGGTCGCGTGCGTCGTCCGCTTGCCAGACGTGCCGTGGCCGCAAGACTAAATGCGATAACGAGAGGCCGATATGCGGCTATTGTAGGAGGGTCGGGGCAACTTGCACATATATCGAGGACTCGGCTCCGGCAACGTCACTGTAAGTTTATTTTACTTTGTACGGACTTGAAGTCTCGAGGCCCACGTCTGATCGGCGGGTTCGGGTCACATACACTTTGCGGGGGATGGCTCAACCGGGTGGGCACGTTATATCAGACTGATACTAATGAAGTGTGGATTGTTTCCGTCAGATGTCAAGGTGTTGGACCACGTTTGCTGGGAGCCATAGAGAACTTGGCCAACCTCATCCAGCGCAACGAGGAGAACTTTCGCGCTATACCGCAACTTAGCCGCGACCTGTCCCGTGACTCTAGCGACTATCCGGATAGCCCAACCTTCCAAGGTGGACGTCAGGATGGTCTCTTGTCTGGGCAAGATGGCGGTGCCGCGGACGGGGCCAAGAAGTCCATTCACCCCTCGTTATCGGATACCGCCGGACTGGACTCCGTGCTGGAGTGGCCAATCTTTCCTAAACCGGTGCCTTTCGCGATAGACCCCTTCAGCCACGCTTCCCCACGCGGGGAAGCCTTTTCCCCCAGATCACCCCCGGCCATGGAGTTCTACGAGCTATCCCGACTCGTAGACTTGTACTTGACCAATGTTCATCCCATGAATCCCGTCGTCGATAGTCAAATGCTGCGACAGATGTTAAAGCAGGTCGCGGAAAACGGGCCCGACTGGTCAGCGTCTACCTGTATCGTCGCATTATCTTGTGCCCTTGGCGCCATATCCCAGAGACCCGGGCAGAGGACGCCAAGCGGGACCCCTCGTGGGTACTCCGTGGAGCCCAATCGTCACCTGGCGTCAAGGTATTGGTCAGTTGCTGAGAAACGCCTGGGCTTCTCCATGGGGTCACCTGGATGGGAGTCTGTACAATGCTTGTGCCTGGCAGGGTAAGACGGCTCCTCCCGCGTATTTGACTTGTCATGGCTCTTGGTCAGTCGTACATGTAAGGCTGACTAGTACGGTAGAATCTGGCACATGTACAACATGGATCCCTTACAAGCATGGAAATGTTTCAGTATGGCGAGTAACACCTGGTATACTACTTCGCTCACAAACAAGTTCGTATCTCCTTGGCATTGCTTGGATTCCCCTTGGCTGACATTCGTCTCAGGCTCACCATGCCGGCTAAAGCCGAGACGCCTGAATTCCCCCAGTCACTTTCAATGGAGCAGATATTGTACTTCACTTGCTTCAAATCTGAATGGTATGCCCTGTCCGGACTCCCTTCCCGTGGTCTACTTGATCATTGGCTAAGACTAGGTTGCAGTGAGCTGGCGTTTGAGCTGTCCCTGCCCGGGTCTATCCTCGCTGGTGTAGACTACCCGTACAGTTTGCCTAATCCGCCAACACTTGGTGTCATGAATCTGGACAACAAGGCCCTCATGATGGAGCAAAGATCTTGGTACTACTACTTAGCAGAGATCTCAGCACGGCACCTGATCGATCGTTTCACGCAGGCTCAAAAGAGATGCCCTCCTCACCCGACTGAGCACGGCATCGACCGCATGCTGGAAGTATTTGAGGTCTTTGATGCCCAACTGTCGGACTGGTACGAATCGCTACCGCCGCCTATATCATTCCAAATACCCACTGGGGATATTGCTCCCCTGGGTGATGACCTGTGCCAAATGCTTCGTGGACGGTACCTGGCGATGAAGGAGCTTCTGTGCAGGCCTTTCGTCCGGTTGGCCTCCACCATCTCCATCGCTTTAACCGTTTCGGAACACATGGTAGCAAGGGTGGCAGAGCTTGCTTCGCGAGGGCTACAATACTGTTTGTTCAGGATCCAGGCTACGTCGTCTACACCTCATCACGGCCTCTGGTTGCAACTGAGGGGATTCGTGACTTGTTCTCTAATCCTGACGGCCGCAGAGCGGGCACAAAGTATCCCGTCGTTGAACATGCCAACAAAAGTCACGTACCCTCAAAATTGGAAGCGGACGATCTTTGCTCAAAAGGAAATTCTGTCTAATTGCTGGGAGTTCGAGGAAGGAGGCATAAGCGATTGCGCTAGGGTCTTAGACTGGGCGCTTGCAAAGTTCACGGTCTGATCTCATGCTTATTCTCGAGGTACATAAAGGCCTTATTATGAAGGGGAAAGGCATAACATGCAATCAGACTAAGATGGTCGCAATCATCTCACCCGTATTTGGGGCGCTTAGGTGAGGTGGCAACGTCCTCGGTCCTTCAACGGTGGCATCTAGTCAAAGTAGCCGCTTCGGGAACTGCCACGGTCCTTCCCCGAACCTTTGTATAATAATATATAACGTACCTGTATAGCGAGCGGCGCATCATAGCGAGCGGTGCACGTCCTTATAATTCTACTCTCTTTATTTTTAAGATACCTTTTCTTTATATATAAATATATAATCCTTTTTTTTTTTTAAAAAACCGAATTATTTTTATTTTTTAAATTATTAAAAAAGACCTGAAAATATTTATATAAAGAGCTACCTCTATTTTTAAAATCCCTAAATTAACCCTCTATTATTAACGCGCTAGATATATCGTACGAAATAAAAAATAACTAAATTTAATAAAAATAATTATAATAGAAGAGGAAGTAATTCTTAAATAAGTTATTAATTTAATTAATTAAAGGTTCTTTTTATAATAAAAAAACGTATAAAAAATAGCTAATTAATTTTTAAATATATATAATAGGACGCGTATTAAATTACGATAAATAAAAAACTTTATTATTACGGCTAGTTAGTTATAATAAATATATTAATAGAAGTTGAGGCTACGATAACTAAATAAATAGTATTATAATTATAAATAGCTTCCCTAAAACTATATTTATTAGTTATAAAGTAAATAAAACTTTAATAATTAATCGTAGTCTTATTAAGAAGAGTTTTTAATAAAAATAGCTAAAAGTAATTATAAAATTTAATACTAAGTTAATTATTAAAAAAGCTATAAATATTATAACTAGCTAGTCGTAATAAGTATATTAATAGAAATTAAGGCTACGAATACTAAATAAATAGTATTATAATTATAAATAGCTTCTTTAAAACTATATCTATAAGTTATAAAATAAGTAATACTTTAGTAATTAATTATAGTTTTATTAAAAGGGTTTCTTAATAAAAATAGTTAAAAACGATTATAAAATCTAATATTAAGTTAATTATTAAAAAGCTATAAAAAGTCTATTTTTAAACCTAGCTTAAGTTTATATTATATATAAATCTTATTTATAAATATATTTTTTATAATATTATTATTTATAATTACTTAACTATTTATTAAATAGTCGTTCGTTTTATTTATATATAATTATCCGTCCTATTTTTTTATAAACATCCGTTTTTTTATTTTATTATATAATCGTAATTATATAACTTATTTATAATTTTTTTATTTTAAAAAGAGTTATTTTAAGTTTATTCTTTTTATATATATAATATAATAGCCGCTATAAGTTTTATAGAGTAGTCCCTAGCTTTATTATATTTATTAAATTATAATATTAACTTCTCTTCTTAAAAATCTAATCCTCTAAGCTTATAAATAAGTTATTTATTCTTAAGTTAAGGAATCGTTAAGTTTATTTTATTAAAAAATATACTAATATAATATTAAATCGAATTAAAAAATCGAAATTTTAAATAGCTATATCTTATTATAAGCTATTATATATTATTCGTTTTTTTTATAAAAATATAAAAATAATACTTTATTTAAATTATTGCTCGCATAGTATTTAGTATTTAGTCCTTTTTAATTCTAATATTTATAAAATATATTATTACTTAGGTATATTATATAATACTTTTATTAACGCTATTTATATTCATAAATAATTATAGTCCTTATTTAATAATTTAAATTAATTTAATATAATTAATTATTTAATAATAAAATCTAATTAGTTAGATCGTAAAAAATAAGTAAAAGAGTTATGCTTTTAAAAAAAGGTTATAGAATTATAAAAAAAAGCTAAAGTTTATTAAAAGGTTTAAGCTAAGTTAAATAAATCGTTATCTAAACTAAAATATCTTCGTATTTAAAAATAAATAATATTTAAAAAGAGTTATATTATATTAAAGGAATTTCTTAAGAATATTAAAAATACTTTATTAATAACCCGCGAAATATAAGTTAATAATATTTTTAAGGTTATTAATTAGGACGTTATAATAACTAAGAGTTTTAGTTTTAATTTTAATTTTAATATTCCTTAAAAAATTATTAAAAGTTTTAGAAGTTTATAATAGGTTTTTATATATTTTTTTTATATTTATAGTTTTTTTATTTAATTAGGAATTTTTATATTTTATTCCTAACCTTATAGTTAATAATCCTTTTAACTTCGTATTTTAGTTCGTTAAGTTTTATAATAATATAATCTTTTATATATAAACTTTTAAGTACTAGTTCGAGAAATAAAATATAAAAAACTAGATAATACTTTATTATATCTAAGAGTCTTAGCTTATAATTAATATTTAAAACTTTTTAAATAATTTTAAAAAATCTAAGTTTTTTATAATTTAATTTATTATTTAGTTATTTTATTTTAATATTATAATAAAAGAAATAGGTACTATCCCCCTTTTCTAAAATTAGTTTTTTAATTTTTAATTTATCCGCGTTTTTCTTTATACGTTAATATACGAATTCGAGATTTAAAAATATTTTTTTTTAAATTTATTTAAGTTTTATTACGTTTATTACTATTTTAATAGCTTATAGCCCTTATTTTACTTTTTTATATATTATTAATTAATATCCATAGTTTAAATAGAACAGGGATTTTTTTATACTTTTACTAACTATATTATTATATACAAATTAGGCTATTAATAATAATATTATTTAGTTATTTTAATTATAATTTATATAATAACGGAAGTATATTTTAAGAATCTAGTTAATTCTTTTTATTTAATTATTAGTTTATAAATAAAAAGCGGTTAATAATTTATAATTTATATTAAGTTATAAGATTAAGGATTTTTAAAACTTTAAAATAAATAGAGTACCTCTATTAAAAATAATTTCTTTTAGCGTACTATAAGTAATAATAATATTTTTAAAAAACGTATATACTAATTCTTTTATATTACTAGCTTTTTTATAGGGTATAAAATAAGCGAACTTAGTAAATCGATTAATTATAATTAGGATACTATTATATTATATATTTGTAAGTAGTTCTTTAAATTTTAGTAATTTAATAATAAAGTCCTATAAAATTAATTATTATATTTTTATAAGTAGTTATAATAATTATAGTTCGCTATAGGGTTTGTACGAGCTATTTTTATATTTTTTATAAATTACTTAGTTTTTAATTACGTTAATAATTTTAGTATGTATAGCGGATTTATTATAATATTAATAAATCCGTTTTTATAGTTTAATAACTTTTTAATAACTATATATAGGTATATTATGAATTTTTATAATAAGCTTAAAGGTTATTTTTTTAGTTAGGCTAGTATTAATTTTTTTAGTTATTATAAAAAGCTTCGTAATTAATATAAAATTATCGTCCTTTTTTTTTTAAGGATAACTTACGTTTTTTTAGGGATTATAACTTCGTAATTAGGTCTTTTATTAAGGGCGTCTATTTTATTATTTTCTAAACCTTTTTAATAAATAATTTAGAAGTTATATTTAAATAAAAACTCGCTCTATTTAACTTATTATTTATTTAAATTCTTATTTATTATAAAATTTATAAGGTTTTTATAATTTATATAGATTATAATTTTATATTTAGTTCTAAATAGCTATAATCTCTATTTTTAAAATATTTTAATAATAGCTATTAGTTCTTTATTATAAATTTACTAATTTAATTTTATTTTATAAAATATTTTAAAATAAAAATAATATAAATAAAGTTTTTTTTTTTTATTTTATTATTTTAAAACCGCTCTTATAGCGAAGTCCGAAGTATTAATTTTAATTTCGAAGGGTTTTTAGGGGTTTAAAATTATAATAATTAGTTCGGAAATAACTATATTCTTAATTTTAGTAAATATTTCTTTATATTTAAAGTCCTAAATAAATAGGTTATCTTTTTATATTAAATTATTAAGAGGTTTAATAATATTAACGTAGTTTTTAAAGAATTATTAATAAAAGTTAATAAATCCTAAGAATTTTTATATATCCTTAACGTTTTATAATATAAGCTAGTTCTTAATTACTTTTATTTTAAATATTTATATATAGATTTATCTTAGTATAATAGTATATTTAAGAAAGTTTATTTTTTATATATAGAATTTATATTTAAAGGGTTTAGTATATAGTTTAATATTTTAGAGTTTTTAAAATACTATATAAATATACTTTTTATATATTTTAAAATTAGGAAAAAAAATAAGAATATTATTAATATAAATAATAATAAAGATATTAACGAACTCCCGGAGTATATAATTAACTATTATTTAAAAAATTACCGGAATATTAATAAGTCCAAAAAATATAATAAGATACTTAAAGAGTCCTTTACGAATTTAAAATACTATTTTCTATTTATTTTTTTTTTAATTTAGATTTAATTAAATACTTTTTTAAGGTTTATTATAATAAACTAGTTAGTTTTATATAATAAATCTCTAAGTTTAGTAATAAGTAATAAAAGATAGTAATTCTTCTTCATAATTTTATTAAGTTTTTTATAATTAATAATAAGTTTTATTTTTTTTTTTCTTTTTTTTAATATAAAAAATAAGGGTAATTTTATAAGAGATTTTGAGGGTCGAATATATCCTTTTTTAAGTTTTTTATTAATATATTCGTTAAAGTAATTTTATTTTTTTTAATTTATAGGGTATATAAAAAAGAATTTAAGTTATATTCTTTTTTTAAGTTTAATTTCTATATCTTAATTACTATGTTTTAGTAATCCTATTTTTTTAAGTTTTATAAATAATTTTATATATTTCTAATACTCTTTAAGTATAGTTTAGAATTATTCTAATTTTTAATTATTTATACTAAATACGAACTTCTTAGAGTTTTTTACTATTTTAATAAAAGCTATATATTATATTTTTTTTTTCTCTTTAAGAATTAT